TTTGATAAGCTGTCATCGCTGTTCTCACCTGACAATTCTGTAACATTGCTGGGCTTCATTAAGTCTACTTCCAATTGTGTCCAATGGAGACCTCCCAAGTATCATTCTGCAGTAAGGTTTCGTGCGTTAAACCCAGTTTCAGTTTCCCTTACTCGAATGAGTGTTTTCACTACTGGATTTGCTCACTTTATTTACAACTTATACTACTAATTTAAAATACTTTCTTCGTTTTCACCTGGACTCAAAAATGTTGTCACTTCGTAGAATTTAAATATGCCATTAAGGTATGATCGATGTCGCCTGGCTATGTGCCATAGCGATTCGCAGCGTGTATTGGCTGGTCCTGCTCGCCTGCAACTTCCTGGGATATTCAACGCTATGGGCTCGACGTGAAATCAAACAGAGGGAACGCGAAGTCAGTTTATTTGTCTTTTCTTTGTGATTCTTTCCATCTAACTCCTACTGGGGCGCAAAGTTTTCTGAAGCTCTGGGTGGTGGCGCGTAGGGGGCATACCAGGTTTCCTTCCCTTTCTTCCTCATTGTAAAAGTTCTCTTTATTTGCTACTCCTACACCTAGTCAGGTTGACAGGTTGAACATTACTGATCAAAATTATGTCTAGTATGTTTTTTTTATCAACTGTTAGGGTAGGTTTGAGTATTTTGGAACTTGGACTTTGTACTTGTCCTCCGCGATGTTTTTTATTTGCTGATCGTTTCGGCGTCATCGGAAGAGCAGAAAGTTTTCTGTCGGCCTGAGACTTTGAATTTTGAAGAATTTTTCTTGAATAGGGGTAGTTTTTCCTAGCCCTTTTTCTTTTTTATACATTACTAGTCTTCTGACTGTCTCATTATCGCATGTCTCCAACTATTTTTCGATTTCCTTCCCAACTTCTCTCTCCGCTTTTTCAGTTCTACCATCTAGCTCTCTTCGCCTCACTATTCCTTACTTGTTGCCCGGATTCTTTCATTCACATAGTTCGATCTCAGGGTAAAGATTTAATGTTTTAGGAAGATATCCGCCGCGCTTTGAAAACTCCTGCTCACATTGCGGTACTCATCAATAACCGCTCCTTGACCAAGGCGAGTGTTTCGCTGATAGTTTTCATTACTTTGACAGAATTTCTGGCTGCCTCCAATAGGTGCCTTCACATTTCTTTTGCAGGAGTCGCTGCAATCGCTTTTGAATGTTTGCCTTGGCGCAAACATTCGGCGGTTGACTATCTATGACCCTGTCGTAGATCATTCCTTTTTAGCTGATGATCTCAGTATTTTCTGCAAATCTAAGGTACTTTTCCTCGTTTTGATGAGGTTTATTATTTTTTTCAGTCCAATGATTCCATATTTTGTACGTAATTGATATATATCGTTTAGCGGATAAAGATAGTCACGGGATGCAACGCTGCACCCATGGATTTGTCTTCTTATCGGTTAATAGTTCATTTGCTTTCTGTTGATTCAGGAAGGGCAACACTTGTTGAAACATGCCGAGATGTAAGTGATTCGAGCCTTAGTTGTATTCGATCATTTTTATTTACTATTGTGGCCTTGTCCTCTGCGTCTCAAAACAACCTTCTCCAGCTTTCTTCATCTTCCACACCAATATCTGTCGCTGAAGTTTCAACTTATCTGGCTAAGCGACATTCACTTTATGAGCCAGAAGTCTTGATACAGGTATCTTTTACTTTGAAGACAGAACTTCTACCTTAAAAAATCTCATATTGGCTATATCAATTGCAGACATAGTACAGAGAGAGGTTTTTTTAGGTTGGCAGTATTCCATCCCTATCCGGGTATCCTCCATGGTGTCTACGAGTGACGGAGATCATTCCTGTTCGAGTATTGCCTTGTACTCGATATGCTTTCGAAGAATGTCTGGAAGCTTATAGTAAGCGAGAGATTCGGTTAGGAAAGTAAAATGCAAGCTGCAGACTCACCTCATATGGTGAAGCGATTCTCCACGAAGTGAATCTTGCCATTAGAAGATCGGGAACTAGGCTGTTCTCGAGCTGTTATTGAATTGTATTTATTGAATTCATATTATTTCTCATAGACTTTTAATTTTGATATGTTATTATTATATATCCGGCTTTATTGTTTGTCTTCGACGGAAGGGTCTAATATCATGTTATTAAGTAATATGTGCTATAGCCTTTCCCTTTCCCTTTTCACGACAGTTACAAAATCTGGGGCGATTTTGCAACTTGTATCCATGACCGCTAGAGAACGACATTTAGTTTAGTGTTTTCGTAGAATCGTAGTGCCTTACTCTGTCCTGTCCTAAGCCTAGTCGTCGACTACGGGGTAGTTATTCTGATGAAAGAGATAGACTATAGCCGTTCATCGTGGTAATGGGTTATGTTAGTCTCTGAGTTGTTGATTGTTCTTTGATATTG